TCCCCACCCAGGACCCCTCCACGCAGGCCGCCACCATTTCGCACACAGCCAGTGTTCTGTGGACCCACAGCCAGTATTCTGTGGACTCCATGCTGAAGAACTCTCTAGGGACTAGGGAGGTGGGTCCCATTTCAGCTAACACAGATGCTTTCATGGGGCCTGGCAGCGTGCCCCATGTCTCCATGGTCCCTGTGTCCTCTGAAGGGGCCCCCAGCAGGGAGCCAATGATCTCAGGCAGCTGGACCTCCAAGGTTGACGACCCCAAGAGGCTGGACTCCTCCATCCCCCTGGTCCCTGACTTGCAGGAGGGTACCCGGAGGCAGGCGGTGGGGCTGTTGGCCTTCCTCGGCCTTCTCTTTGGCCTGGGGGTGGCCATATTTGCCTATCAAAGCCTGCAGGGCTGTCCCCGCAACACAGCGGGGGACATCATAGAAGGGCTTCGCTACGTCCCCCGGAGCTGTGGCAGTAACTCGTATGTCCTGGTGCCAGTGTGAACTGCCCTCCTGCCTGTGTCCAGATGTTCAACTCAAACAGCTACCAGGGGTCCCCCATCCTCACTCCTACCCTCACCCAAGGGCCTGGCCCGAGCTGGGATGATGGAAGCAGGGAGGCAGACTCCTCCAGGCGGGTCTGCCCCAGCTCCTGGGCAGACCCTGGGAGGGCCCCTTGAACATCCCTGACCTCCTGGGGGCAGAGGGGGTGACCTGTGCAACTCATGCCAACGCCCCCAAATCAGAAAACTCTCCTCTGCTGCTGGCTGGTTAGAGGTCCCCTTTGACATCCTCCCAAGCCCAACGAACATTTATTTATTGAATGCTCAGCCCCTCTGGTCCATGTCCCTGTGTAGGTACCTCAGTCATCCCTTTCACAATGAGCCCCGGGCCAGGCCCTTCTGCCCACTCCCTCCAACCTCATTCTGTCTTTTGGTCCCGCTGCAGTCGCCAGTCACCCTGGCCACCTGCGGTGCTCTCTCCCCGGTCCCCTGTACAGAACCCACGCCCTAGCCGGGCCCTGTCTGTTCTTGCATGAGGCGGGTGTGGGGCTTGCTGGCGCGGCTCTCAGCCAAGGCTGTGCCCTCAGCTCGGCGCCATGGGAAGGGGAGACGAAGCGGCCCAGTGGTTTTGGTGGTTTTCCCTCCTTGGTCTGTGCTGTGAAGTGAAGGGTGAAGGAACACTGACTCTGAACGTGAAGCCTGGGGTTCTAGTCCCAGGTCCACCATCAACCTGCTAAAGCACCCGTCCCTCTGGCTTCCACTCTGTGAAAGGAAAAAGGGACAGCGAATATGTGGAGTAACCTATACCCTGACAGGCACCCCTAAGTGGTCCAGAAACCCCTTTCCCCAGGCCCTGGGTGCAGCAGAGCGCCTCAGCCAGTCTCTGCCAATCAGCGAGACTGGCACAGCCGGGGCCCTGTGATCCCCGGGGCCTGGCAGCCCATTCCCACCCTGTTGGAAGGAGTCAGCTCCCTGGGTCCCCAGAGTGGGGGCTGGGCTGCGATACTTGTGGAGCAGAGACCAGTTTTAAAGGCCCCTTTCTGACTTTGAAAACAGCCCCCTCTGTGTCCACCAGGCTTATAGGGATAAAGGCAGCCCTGGTGACATGTGACAGGCTGAAGAAGGAGGCCTGCAGTCTCCTGGGAAGGCACTCCACAGAAAGACCCACCGAGAAACTGCAGGGAGCAGTCACACTCTGTGTTAGGGACTTGGGTCCAGCATTTGGTCTCTCTCCTTGCAGCCCGGGTTCCCCATCCACCTCTCCGGCTCCCAGGGAACACCATTCGCTGCACGCTGTCTCCCCCGCTCCCCTTTGCCCCCGCCGCAGGCAGGGCTGGGAATGTCCATGACGTTTTCCATGGGCTTGACTCCACTGCTGATACCTGAGGTCCCGTGTTTATTTCTGAAAGGAGCTCTGCCCTGTAGGGGAAGGGAAGTCGTGGGTGTGAAGTCAAGGGGCCCCTTTTGGCTAATGACTCAGGCAGGCCTGGGTGAGGCTGGAGGCTGACTGACTGGCCAGCACCCCCCAGCCAGAGCTGGACCTGCAGGCCTCACCCCTCAGAGTCGCTGGTGGCAGCTCCCTACCTCCCTCTGATTGTCCCTAAGGGTGACCCTTTGCCCTCCACCTGAGAAACCTCCTATGGGCTGGCTCCCTCCAGGCAGAGATGACATTCCTTTAGGATGGATGCTCAGGAAGCAAGCACAGCTCTGGTCCACAGAGAGGACCGGGCCCTCCTGTACCCCCCTGTTTGGGCATGGTGCCCCCTGTTTGGGTCTAGCTTGAGTGGAGAGCACTTTGAGGGGGAGAGCAGGTCTGAACGCACTTTTTTGTGCTCTTCCCGGCTGGGAGCCTTCAAGGGTTGGGCACCCATGATGGGGCTCCCCTCCTTGGTCAGAAAGCAGCCGGGGCAGCTGGTCTCCTTTCCATGGATTCCGTTAGTTCCCCCAGCAGGACATGGACAAGGCCAGTTTGGGGAGGACTTTAGAAGAACTTGGTTGATCCCTTTGCTTTTCCAACCCTATCACCAATGTATGTGCCATTTTGTATTTTACTAATAAAATGGAAAAGTCTTGTGAATCAAATAAAAGTGCTTTTTTTCTAGGAGGTGGGGGGCTTGGAGCCTCAGGAGGGATGGAAGAGGGAGGGGACAAGACTCCGTAGGTCAGCCCTGGAGACTTCTGTCTCCAGTCCCCTTGGGGCAGAGTCGCAGGTACTTTTACAGTGAGCAGGGGAAGGGGCCCTGGGGACAGGGGAGAGGAGGGTTGAGCCCCTGGCCTGGCTCTGCTCTGCCCAGCTGTGTGACTCTGACCTTCGCCTGTCTGCACCTGTATAAATGCAGGTGTGAGGCCTCTTCTGGTGGCTCCCATCCCTGGCAGGAATCAGAATCCCTCGTGAGGCAGCCCCTTGCCACACTGCCACACTCCTACTGAGCCTCTGGTGACTTGGGGCGGTGTCCTAAGAGCTGCCATGAACTGCTGTGTATGTTGAAAACTGCACGAGGTGCCCCAGGCCTACTCCAGCCTCTTGATAGACAGTATTTCATGAGTTCTAAGATGCACATTTTTTCACATTGTGACATCTGTGGAATTAAGATTAGTCTTCCGATCAATGGCTTGTCATAGTTTAATGAGCAGGTCTCTATTAGCTCATTAAATATCAGAATGTCTTACAATCGATGGCATCTTAGATCCTATGTCTATGGGATGTTTTTAAAAATTAGAGGCAACAAACAGGAAATTACACACTTAAACGTACTTTTCTCTTGGGCGATTCAGGAGTCTGTTCCCCCACCCTGGGTGATGGTGGGCAGATCCTGAACAGCAGCTGCCCCTTGAGATACGACAGGCCAGGACGAGACCCCAGGTCTCTACTATCCCCTCCACCCCAAAGACACCCCCCACACACACACTTTTGCTCATTCCCACCCCCAGGAAGGAGCTCTGCCCAAGGCCGGGTTCCAGCCCCCGCAACCTCTCCCCAGCACCTTCCAGCAGCATAAAACAGAGGCTATGAAATAAAAATATTTGTCCCTGTCAAATCCTCTTGCTCAGGAAGAGGGTGGATATGAATCAGTTCCCCAGGGATCCCAGCGTGATTGTGTTTTATTTTCTTTTCCAGTTTCAGCTAAACTTGAACTGACCTGATCTCCAGGGGGCCTCTGAAGTTTTTGCTACAACTATCAGGACTCCGAGACAATGATGATGATGATAAATTAGTAGTGATCGCCATTGTTTGTTTCCTGCGTACCATGTGCCAGATTTTTCATGTCCAAGGGTCATAAAGAAAAGCTCTCAAAAGATTTGAGTGGCCCAAAGGACACACAGCCTATAAGCAGCCAAGCTAGGATATTGATACCATTGTAATTAGCTAGTTATTAATAATAGGAAAGGAGTAAAGGGAAGGCCAGACATTATAGGCATGTTCCCAGCAAAACACTGGGGGAAGGGGACCGGACAAAGGGAAGATAGGCGCATGCCCAGTAAAGTTGGGGTGACATGGGGAAGGTGTTTGCTGTCAGTCACACCTGGGAACAGAAGTCATTGCCAGAATGAGCGTGGCCGCTGCAAGCCCTTAAAGATTTGGGATACTTAACCCCCTGAACAAATGGGTTCGCTCTCTTGTGCTCTTGGCTCCCTTGGGACTCGTGTGACTCTGGGTTTGTGGGGCCCTTTGGCTCTTGCTTCCCTGCATTTGCCCATGTGGCCCATGGCCATGTGGACCCACACACAATGGACTAACGGATTACAACTAGCCTGATGCTGTATTGGACCCGTCTCCAACATGGAAAGGACACTCTGGACACTGGCTTTGCTTCCATCTTTGCTGAAACCCCAGCTACACTTCTACGACTGGATTAAGGGAAATTGGGGCTTTGGAAACCGAGGGATGTAATTGCACAGAAAGAAAGCTTTTTACTCCATCTCATCATCCCATGGGGGCCTCTGGAAATGCTTATTCCAGCTTACCCCAAAACCCCACTCCCACTAGCAATGGGGGAAAGACAAGGCAGGCCTTGCTCCCGTGACAATTGACCCAAAGTCTTTCTCCAGAACTATAATCTTAACCACTCTTTCTGAGAGTGTGAGCCACAGATTCTTAAAAGTACAGAACCCTGAGTCCCATTTCAGACCTACTGAATTCGGGCTCCAGGGTGCGCAGGCTGGGAATTTGCACCTTCAAGCCATTGCCCCCTTCCCTGCCTTTTCCCTCTCCTCTCTCCCTGCCTCCACCCTGCACTGCCCTCCAAATTAGGGGGTTTGGTGCCTAGCCAAAGTTTTAGAGCCCCTTGCAGCAGGTCACCCCACTCTCACCTGCCCAAGGCTTGCAGAGGCCTTTGAGTAGTAGCTGCCTACAGTCTCATTTTCTGCCCTTTGCCCAGCTCCCCCACCCTGTGTTCTCTGTACATTCCTCAGAAAGGGTGGGGCCAGGTTAAAAAAACAAAAAAATGAATGGCTGGGAATTCCCGGCCTGAAGCTGGATAATATTCGCTGGGAGACACAATGTGAGCTTGTGAGTGTGTATGTATGTGTACGCACAAGCTCTGTTCTTGGGTGTGCGAATGAAGATCACCCGTGACTTCATTTGCTTCTGCTCAGTCACGTGCTTTCTTGGTGCCGGGCTGGCTTTTCTTAGCCGACTGCCAACTTCAGCAGCAGGGCCCATGTGAGATAGTTTTATCTCACCAACTGGGGGTGGGGGTGGTGCCTCTGAGCCCAGGAGAATTTCAGAGTGGTGCCTATTTAGGAAGAGAGACCCCCGCTCTTACCTTCAAGGGATCTGTTGCCCCCAGAGGACAGACTGGATTTATTTGTAGCAAGCACCTTGCTTTTTAGCCAACAGGAGTGGAATATAACATGGGGCTTTCTGGCTGGGTGACTTTGGGCAAGTTGTTTAACCTCTCTAGGCCTCAGTTTTCTCCTCTGCAGAGTGGGAATAATAACAACTCACCTTGTGGGTGAAAACGTCATAAGACAATACTTGCTAAACACTTAGGAAAATGGCCTGTCCATAGCGAGCTCTGGGTAAGCAGAGCCTTTGATTATGCAATAGATGCTTCCAGAAGGTTTGAAACATTCTATTCCCATTGGCTTTTGTTATTGATACCCAAACAAGATTATAAAATTATATGATTTCTATAAAGAAATGCAGTCGTCTTCGTTTTCAGTAAATTAGGGTGAAAAAATGTCATAGTGTCATCAAGCTGATAAGAATAATTTGTACATTTCCCCCCTAAGCTAATAGATGCTGTTCAAGTTGACGTGACTTTTCTCTTCTAAGTTGCTTTTGGACTTGGCAAGGCCCAAACTCATGAATCCCAGTTAATTAAAGCAAACTAGCAAGACGTCTGAATCTTAGACTTGGACAGAAAGGAAAGTTGATTGGTTTTCAAGTCCTTGGAGACTGTGCTAGTCAGTCAGGCTCCCTGAGAGTTTCTGGCTTGTTGCCCTCTGGGTACATAAGAAGGGTGCTCTTCCTGCTCCCTTGGGGTGCATGGGGGCCTAGCAACCAGGCTGGCCAGTGCACTGAGAGTGGAAATGACATGTGTCACAAGATTCAAACATTTAATTGCTGGTGAGAAAACTCTTAGGCCCTCTCACCTAGCCCCTGGCCACATGGCGGAAAACGATGGCATCATTGAGTCCCAGAGTGAACGTGACTCAGTACCTCCAGCCAGAAAGAGCCCCAGCTGATCTCTGTGAAAGCAACAAAGCTTTGTGGTTTTAAGCCACTGAGATTCTGAGTTAGTTGTTATTGCAGCGTAATCTTGCTTAGCCTGACTGATAGAACAATCAGGAAGAAAAAATACATTGTTTCTTGCACTCCGTAGGAATGATTTGTAAGAGCCTGCATGATACTGTTATAGGCTTGGAAACATTAATTAACTGGGATAAGCCCTCTTCATTTGCTCTCTTTGCAGACAGAATAAAGGTCAGTCTCAGCTTGGCTAGCTGCCTATGGGTTTATTCGGAATTCTCACTGCATGGAATTGGAAAGAAGAGATATTTTGTAGTTTCTCTGAAATACATTGGCGTTCGGGTGTTCTAATGGCTCAGATATGCTGCTGCTCACTTTAGCATTCAAGGAGGTAAATGGGGGGAAATATTAATAGCACTGAGCTATTTGCCAGCTGTTTGCCAGGTGATCTGCATCAATCAGTCTTTCATTTACCTCCTAAACCCAGAAGCCTGATCAGGGTAATCTGGGCCTGTTGGCACAGGAATCTGGCATTTTTGCACAGGTCTAGAAGCTGACATGTGCATTTCCTGTGTCTTTGTTTTCCTGGAGGATTTCAATTGCTCCACTGGCTCCAGTCTTGTTTCTCGGGATGCTGGTTCCCCCATTCTCACCCCTCTCCTCCCCAACACCTTTGGCCACACATTTTCTTATATCTCCAAGTCAATTTCTTTTGCACCTCTGAGCCATTGTACTAGCTGTTCCCCTGTTGGAATAACTTCTCCCTTTACAGTTCTCCTGGCCAACTCCAACTCATCAGCTTCTATGATGCTTCCTCCAGGAGGCCTTCTCTGACTTCTTAGCCTAATGAAGGTTCCCTGCTATGGGGACTCACCCTACCTGTGCCTATCACAAGCCTCAGGTGACACGGCTATGCCTGCTTGTTTCACTGTGCTTCTGTAAGATGCGTGGGGCAGGCATGTGCATTTCTCTTTCTTCTTTGTGCCCCTGTGACCACCACATGTCCTGGAAGGAGTCAAAGAGGGGAAAGGCCACCGGTCTGACCTGGTGTCTGTCCCATATGGCTTTCTAATATATGGAAAGCCCACCCATCCATGTGGGGACCTGATTCCAAGGCATTTCCTGGTGAAAAAATATTTAATTACCTCAAAGGAATATCAGAGACTAAAAGCAACCATTTATAAAGACGTGTCCAAGTCATTCCTGAACCCCTCTGACCCTTCATCATCACATCCTGGTCAAGAAATTGCTCCCCAGGCCCAGCCAAGACCCCCAGGAAACATGGACTGGGTCAAGGCTCTGATTGTCCCCCAAATCCCCAGAGGAGTGAGCAGGCAGAGAGGGAATCTAGCAGCCCTGGGGACAGAACCCCCTCCTCGTGAGGT